CCGGGCGTTTTGTCGCTTCGCCAGCGCCTGGGAAAGTTTTCCGACGATTTCAAAGTCAATTGGTTTTGACAGCCCTTACGGGAAACCTTTGATATGGGAAAAAAGCAAAGTTGAACGGTAAATCCAAATAGCAAATTGACCAGGAAAGTTGAGATAAAAAATCTTTATAGGAATTCAAAACTTGAACATCAAATTACAATTATTTATTTGATTCAAACAGCCATTTTTTTATAAATATTAATTTTAGATAATTTTTGTCCTTCTGGGCTAATTTCCCATTGGTTTCAATTTATAAAAGTAGCCTCGAATCACCTGAATTAATTTTAATTTTGACCTAATTATAATTATCCAGCCGCCCAGAGTTGTAGAACACTGGCACTTACTTTGACCTTTTGATGTTCAGTTGATTAAAAAAAAATTAGAAAAATGAAAAAATAAGCATAAAAAAACCATCATTTTCAAAAATTTTCATTCAAATTCTTCCACATCTATTTTTATACCAAACGCAAAACGTCAACGGAACGCCGAGGAGATTTTGTTGATTATACAAATTTTGACGTTTTTGCGTGCCCTGCAAATCACGCCGCCAGATTTATGCAAATATTTCCATTTCCCCGCCGCTTTTGCCACGCACGCTCTCCGCCGTTTTAATATGGGAAAAAAAGTTTTAGGATAAATATTTTTTCAGAGGCGCTTACGCCGGCGCGCGCGTGGTATGTATTTAAATCAAAAGCTGCCGCTTTCGTTTCCCTGTGGGAAATGAGCTTTTCGCATCATCCCCAGCTAGCTCTGCCCACAGGAAAAAAACCGCCGCGTGCATTTTTATATATAAAGTGCAGTTTGAATTTCTCTTTTTATCCCGGCGACACCCTCGTCCCGACTTTGATGAATCAATCGCCCCAGGGAATAGACCGACTCTCTCTCTCCACGGAATCAATCACATTGTTGAGCCGAGGTGCATTTTGATCACGCCAGCTTTGCCGCTGTAATTTAATTTTTAGACCCAAAAGAGCCTTTTTGTTGTGGCTCCCTCGAGGGTTGCGCGCATCTCGAAATAATTGCACTGAAAAAATATACGTCACGGTCTGCGCGAATCAATTTGCCAACCATCGCGTTGCATCACTCGAATCGCTCGTGTACCCTTTGCAATCAATTTGAGAGTCTTTTTCCCTCTTTGATCTGTAAAGAGGACGCTTTAATCCACACGCTCTCAAAAAGGAATGAACTTGCAAATATTGCTTCAATGAAAACGCCTGCGGTTAGAAACAGGATTTTTCAAATACATTAGAAAAAAAATTTTTGAACTTTTGATCCGCAACAAACGCAGCAGAAAATGATTTGAGATTTTAAATTATCGTGCCTAGGAAAAAGTTCCCCAAAATGAAAAAAAGGAAAATAAAACTGAATTCAATTAAAAAAATTTATTTAAGTTGAAGTATTTGACTAGCAGCAAATTTAATGATGCGCAATACAATATATTTTAGTTTATAATTTACTTCTAAAACAATTGCTAATTAAATTTGAATTTATTTTATAATTTTTTCTTTATGTATATTAATTTTTCACATTTTATGTTTAATAGTTTATTTATTTTGTATTTTGTTATAAAAACTAATTCTAAGAATTTTAATTGTAATTTATTAATTTTGTTATTAAATTATTTTTGAATTTTTAAATGTAAATTCACAATCGTCTGTTAGATCATTGTAATTATAAAAAAGAGACATTTTCTTATCAAGCTCTCCTGTGTTTCTTGACTATGATAAATACAAATTTTGATCAAGTTGGGCTAATTAAATTTCACTCTCTAAACGAAGACTATGCATATAAAAAACTTATTTTCGGCCATTTCCCGTCTCTGCTCAAGTTTTCATAGCTGCAGCTGACATCCACTTAAAACCGCCTAGCTAACCTCACATTTAGCACATAGTTTGTTAGTCCCTCTGTTTAAGGACTGTTTAATCTGGAGAGAGTGACGTAAGCGCGCCGCTCTAACCACTTAATTGACACGAAAAATTAAAACCACGTTTTATTATCTCGAGGAGCGATGAAGTTTTAATTTCTGAAAACAAGCCGTGCTCCACTCTACGCTCTTAAGAATTGTTTTAATCCCGGGCGGCAATAAAATTTTACGATTCATTTTTCATAAGGAAACGCCGAGACGGGGTCGTAAAGGTGTTATACGCGCGCAGTCGAGTTGCCTGCCTGCCTTTTCCATACGAAACTGCTGCGCTGCGGTGGCGGCGGCGGTGTTGTTGAAAAATATGAGGGGGTTGGTCCGCTTCCGCAGTGGAAAAAAGCCAGGGCTAAACTTAGAGTGCTGCCGGTGGCATAACAACGGGGTGGAAACTTCCATAATGCATATCTCACCCCCTACCCCAGGCGGAGATGATTAATCCTTAGTTTGCATGCGAACGGCTTACCGCGTTTATAAAACTCACGGTTGCCGCCGGCCCCGTGAGGTGAAAAAATTACATTTTTTTCCAAATGGAATCGTGCCGTGCAGCGAGACGGATTTAAAATTTGTGCAGGAGGGATATATAATTTCGCGCGGTACGAACAACACGTGAGGCCGGAAAAGGCGGAGGATTAGATGGGAGCAGGGAATATAATTTTAATGCCGCATATGTGCCCAGGTTGGTAATCCTGCGCTATTGAGTTACGACCCAAGTTTGCCAATAATCTCTCGGTGCGATTTATGTCCTCTCGGTGCCAAGGAGAAGGTGCATTCCGGCCTCGTTGTTCGTAATTAATGTTGCTCGTTAATTTTTTGCTCCGGGATATAATTGAAAGGGGGGAGGGTATTGGAATTATGGCCAATAATTTTGGAATTTCGTTCAATTTTTCGCATCGTAGACTCTCTGAGATAAGAAGGGATCGTGAGCGAGAGAAGCACACAAAAAATTAAAAACAATTTGTGTTTAAGTTAAAGAAAACTATTAAATTATTGAATGATCCAGTGTAACCTTTATAATAATTTAATTATTAAAAAAATTTAAAATTTAAAATAATGGAAAGTAATTTATTTATTTTCATTTTATAAAGCTCTACAAATTGAGCAAATTAGGATTAATCTGCAAATTAACTTCACGTTCAAAATTTCAAATTTTTTAATAATCTGGGCCTAGTTAATTCCACTTTTTAATTTAAACTCTATTTTAAAATGAATTTAGTAGAACCATTTTTTTTTCTACTTTTAAAGTAGAAAAGTTTGTATCTGTTTTTATGCCAAAACCAAAATGTCGTTTTCAATTATCCGGTTCGAAGAACGTGCGGAAGACCACAATCACGAAAGTCCGTCAGGTACATTAACTCGAGCCAGCGACACGAAGATGACGACGGTTTTTGCGGCCGCCGCAGAATGCAATAACAATAAGCGGCCGTGGGTATATTTCATTGTCTGCTCACCGAAATATTGAATTCCAAGCTCATCCGCGCCGGACAGGATCGATGCGTCCAATTTTCCGTCTATTTCAAATTATAATAAGGAATATAAGCCTCCCGCCATTGTTGCGATGCTGCTTTTGATTATAATTTTTTTTCTTTTGCTGAGAGAACAAAAGAGACGAGCTCAACAACGCTTTGGTGACACGCAACCTCAACCTGCTTTGAGAAAATTCGATGAAAGCATGTATAAGCGGCCATGCACGAGGTATAAAAAAAAAGAAAGCAAGAAAGTCGCTTTTTGCGATGGCACACACGGGCGTAATGTGAAAAAAGAGAAGCTCGGAAAAATGCGAGCAGGCAAACAAGGAAAATAATAACGACGCTCACCCTGCAGGGTCGATACACGAGGCATATGGAAAAATATATCACTGCAAGAGCATGGAAATCAATGTTTTATATTTGCACGTTTGAGTGAAAGCGTTCAACTTTGCGTCGGCAAGAAACAGGGAAACAAACAAGTTGAGTGCACAGAGGATTTTTGTTTTGTCAACAAACAGGGTGCTTCAGTTATATGCTAGAATTTTTGTTTCTAAAAAAAAAGTTCTACATTTGAACTCGAATACAAAAGAAACTTTATTCTTATAAATCTGTTTAATTTTGAAGAATGATTTAAAATTATTTACCAAATAAATTAATAAATTGAAAGAACCTTGCTTTTATGAATAAAAATTACTTTTTCTGACAAAATTATGTAATTGATTTATAAACTTTCCACTCTTTATTCTCTATAATAGTAACAAATTGAATTATTTCATCTGGCTTTTTGTAGCTCTTTTGACATTTCGCCAATAGTTTACCCTGCAAATTTCAGAAAGCGAGGGTCCTTGAAAGGCCCTATTGAAATTGAAAACATCAAAGGCTATGGAATCCGGCGTTTTCCTGCTCTGTGCTCTCTCGCCGTTGTTTGCTCGGTCTTTGAAAAACTGGTTCGAAACCGACGTTTTTCCCGGCAGCCCACTTTGAATAAAAACACGCCTCTCTCCCGTTGGTACATTTAAAAGCAATAAATCTCGCTTTGACGGCCAATATCACGATGCACCATCATCATCTCGCTGGCTTATCTGAAATTTTAATATATACCTGCATGAAAATTGAAATGCCTCTCCGCAGCCATATAGCTTGATTCGAGAGGAAAAGAAGGAGGCGTGGATGTAATATTTTGTCTCATAAAATTTGATGACTCGAGTTAAAAAAACATGAATAATATTATTTCCCGGCAAGCGAGCGAGCGCCCGCGGAGAGAAAGAGAGCACAGAGGCAGGGTAAAAAGTTTTTATATGCATTTTAAATGTGGTGCTTCTCCGTCAGCGAGGAGCCCCAGCCAGTTGTTGAATTTATATATATATATTCTTTTGAATTTTTAAGAGGATAATAAGCCTCAACTTTTCCCATTTCTTAACGTACACACTCCTCTTGACGCGAAAATAAAAGAAAATGCGAGGGGAGCATCATTGTCCCTTTTTCCGCGGAATTAATGTCACGCGATGAATGGCCACTTTTATTATTATTACAACTCTCTGATGCTAATCTGATTAATTTTCTTCTTTTTGCAGAGAGCAGAACTGACGCGTCAAAATGCTGATGGAAGTGAACACGCCGCACACCCTGCTCTTCGGGGCCCTGTTCTTGCTCGTAGTCACCTCAGGGTGTTCTGCGAGATCACGACATCCAGCTGGTGAGTACACGTTCTTTAAAAGTGAGAAAATAAAGTTTCTCGCGGGCGATTCATTTGCATAATCAAACGTGATGCGCGAGAAATTGGGCGCATTAGCACGAAGCTCCGTTATAAATTTTTTTCACAAATAACAAAAAAAAATAATTAAATAATTAAAATACTTTAGAATCTAACAGAGCTTTTAGCAATAGTTTTGACTCCGTTTTAATAAATTTTAACATGAGAAACCTTTAGGCCACTATTTTGAGGCTAAAAAAGAATAAAAAATTTACTTAAATGCCCAAATAAATTTTAAGTACATTGAAAATTTGAATTTTTTGGGCACATTTGATTCTAAATATTTTAAATCAACTGAAAAGTGCAAAAAATACTACCTACATCAATTTAGTTTTAGAGCTAAAGAAGAAAACAAATTTTCAATTTAGTCACACAATGATTAAAAATTGGAATTGCTATAAAAATTTTGGAATTTTATATTTTTATAAAAATCCGGTGTTGGTTTTTACATTTTTCTATGGTTGTTCAATCAATCGTCACAAACCTGATTCCGAAGGGCTAATAAAAGTCACACTGTGTGACGCGTCGCCCGTCAAGTCCCCGCAATCATCAACCAAAACGTCACTCTCAAGTCCAGCCGTCGCGCGTTTGCGGTGTAATTAATATCGTGGCGAACAACACAGTCCCTTTCGAGTGTATCACTTCCTCTCGCAATGCTTAGTCTGACGGACAGAACTCATTGAGCGCTTGTCAATTACAACAATCAGCCCCCCGCGTCCATGCATGTGTGTTCGAATCTGTGGCGGAGCAGGAACGTCCATTTGTCAAAATGCGCTCCCCCCCAAAAAAGGATGCAGATGCTCTCGGGGCAATTAAAGCATTTATTTTAGCACCCGCCGTCGGCAATTATCAAATTTCAAAGTTTGAACAACTGCCAGTGTTGCTTCCGCCAGATTCTCCACGCCGAGTATGTGTGTGGGTGGGTGGCGTCGCTCAGAAGAAAAATATTTTAATTGGGTGCCGTTGTTTTCGTTGCGGAAAAATCACCAGCACGACTCTATTAATTAATTAAAGAGCTAATTGGCAGCGAAAATGAGGCAAACATCGGCGCAGTCTGGACACGTTTTGTTGTTGTTGAGAGTCGCGTTGCTCAAAGCGCGAAATAGCTCTCGAGCTGGACACGCTGACAAGCAGCCAACGCCCTCGGAATTTTTGTCCGTCGGCACTTCTTCTTCACAGTCAAAGACAGAGTTGTTTTCCCACTTGAAGCGGAAAAATACCTCAAAATTCCGTTTTCAATTCGCAAAAAATAAAGCTCACTTTCCAATTCTAGCTATTTTTTTCTTAAAAAATTAGCAAAATAAATATTTGTTATTTTAAGCTCCGTAGATGAGCTGAAATATATTCAAAATTTACTTATAAATCATTTTAATTAATTAAACTAGACCTTTTATGCCTAAACAATTGAATTCCAAATCTGTTTATTGGATTGGAAAAGAAGAAAATTATTCGGCAAATTTTGCCTTTGAAAATTGAGTAATTTCAAAATTTTATGTAAAAATAAACCACCAAAATTTTGTGGAATAATTTCATCTGCCGCCACGCTCTATTAACGAATTCGTCAGCTTGGCGAGACTTTAAAGCGACAAAAGCCATTATTTCCTGCTTAACCTAGGGCGAAGCCTAACATGCAGAGGCGTCAAATCCCCAAAACTCCCGCCCGACGTCCTTTTCAAATACTTGCAGGCAACATCTGGCGTCTGCCGAGGGTTGCAAACTCGGCAAACTTTTCGACCGAAAAAGGCTGCAGCGCTCATCCCTGGCCTGGTGGATCTGGCGAGAGCGAGAATAATAAATTGAAGTGATGCACCCACTCCTTAAAATGAGTCTGTTTGGGTATGCCTGGCAGGAGAAAAGGATCAAACGAGCTGCATTCCCACCTGCCTGTGAAATAATAAATAATGTGACCTGAAAAGAGCTAGGCCGGCCCGAAAGGGAAAATCAAAGAGCAGCTCTCTTATTTTTTATGCGGACTCATGCGCGCCAGTGACGACCTTTGAGAATAAAAAAAGACCATCAAGAGAGCAACCGTGGAAATGTCACGTGCGCCGAAAGGAACCAATCAATTAGGCGGCATTATCTGTATAGGCAGCTGCAACGATTAGCGAAATTTCTCGCACATCCTGTGCAATAATATTCAAATTTTATGGCACGCCGTTTCTCGGCTGATCGGCTCTCGCGGCTTCACGCTATGCTGAGCCATTCGGCTGGCTCGGGGCACGCAACGATGCCAAAAACACGAGCGTTCAAAATTAAAAAGGCGAAGAAGAAAAGAAGGGGCGGGAAAAAGAAGCATTTTTTTCATCTCTTCCTTTACTTTGAGCATTAAATGAGACGAATCTGAAATTTCGTAGCTCTTTACAGCCGTCGACGGTGCTAGATTTTAATGGGCCGATTTTCCCGACTCATCACTCGGCTGTCTGGCTATTTCCAGCCGCCCTTCATGTTTGAAAAAGAGAGAGAGGCGGAAAATAGATGCGATTGTCTGTCTGCCGCTTTGAAAATTGAATTATTGCCCTCCGTGAATGTGCCCCGTAAAAATTGAGAAATGTCACCACCTTTCCATAATTTTGATTGGAGGATTAATTTACTAGAAAATTATATTAAAAATATTAAATAATTCTACTAATAAATTTAAAATTCAAACACAATGGGAAAAATTAATTGATAAAAACTATTTTATAGCACAATTTTTCAATTTTTAAAAAATAAAAAAATTAATTATTTAATATAACTGTTACTGTAGGTTTTGTAATGATGCTTCTATGATAGATCAATATTATTGTGTTTCTTTTACTTTAAGGCAGAGACAAATAGGAACATGTTTAATATTGAACAAGCTGAGGTTAGTTCAAAGGTTATTTTTGACACTGGAAATCAATTGAGGTGGTAAAATTAATTTAATTTCAAAGTTCACTTTTTCTGATCATGAATCAAAGATCTAATTTTAAATATTTCTGTATAAATTGTTTTCATTGTTTCAGAACATTTTTATTTTCCCTAACTTTGATATATGATTAGTGTCTCTATGTGTAAATAACATATTATTTTCCTTGGTGACCTTTCTCCACCTCTCGTCTCTCTCGCAAATTTTGGTAGAATGACTAATTCAGGCCACCTGCCCGCATCGTGTTTCAAACGTCGCAGCGGTTTCTCGATCAAAACCGCAGGTCGTCCTGCGTCTGTGTCCGTGTGTGTCCCAGCGAATTTCGCCCGCTGCAAAAACCACACTCTGCCCTCCTTGCGAGAGCCACTTTTTCGGGTCCGAAGATGGTGGCTCCGCTTTTTCTTCTTTTCGTGTCTGTGTGTATAATATAATCCCAAGGTTACTTTGCACCAGAGTTTTATTCTCTCTCCGACCCAAACTTTTTCTTCTTCTTTTCATAAAATACAGCCCCAGTGTTTATACTGCATCTCGGCTCTTCTGCTTTATACGTAATAATATTTTACCTGCGCGCGCCCTTTTTATCCACGCCCGACATTTTTTCACAGTTCACGGCTCCCTCATTTGTTATACTGCTTGTTTTGCAATAAAAAAGGAATTCAGCCGGCGGAGGAAAAGAGATGAGACAAAAGGAGATCGCGGGCAAAAAGCGGCAGCCGCCTCCGCCGCCGCGACGAGAGAGCTGAAAGTGGCAGTTGAGTAAATCACAATCGGGTGGTTTTGAAAAAAAAGCTTAAATTTTTTTAAAGAGAAAACCTTCCTGGAAATTTGAAGCTAAAAATTTTAATTGGCTCTTTCAATTTTAAAATATTTATTCTCAGCCCTTATCTTTTGAGGAAAATTATAAGAAACCCTTGATAAAAAAATCGATTACTCATCCGAAGATAAAGAAAAAACCTCCGTGCGAATGACGCCATCTGCCAAACGGTGAAAAATAGGCTCCTTTTTTATATCTCCGCGAAAAGCAACAACAAGAAGAAGCTCTCGCTCACTTTCCTCGTTTTTTGACAAATAATCGAAGCAGCTCTGCTCACTCCGTTGAATGTGCCGGCAGGAATTTATATATATTTTGCATCTCGGGTGCGAAGGCGCTCTCGGCGTCACATCAAAACATCATCAATTTCAATAAATAAATAAAAAAAAAAGGAGAGCGGGCGGGCGGGCGAGACACGCCGTGGAACATGAACATTGTAGTCGGGTAGTAAAGTAGTAATTTATTTAATGTCACAAACAGCAGGTCTCAATGTTGCTCGCGCGCTCTCCGTGTGTATTATGTCGCACATAAAAGGTGTGGCTGGCAATTCTTTCGCTGCTCCTTGTGCAGCGTCCAGCCAGCGAGAGAAAAGAAAAACGAGAGAGGGTTGCAATATAATAATAACAGCAATAACGTGTGCAGCGTGCTCGCTCACTCGCCGGCCATTACTTATGCTCCGCACACCAGACAATGGTGCAAACAAGAGAGAAAGAAAGAATCCAGCATTAATTTATCGCGCCCTTACAAAACACATGTGACACGCAGGCCCACTAAAAGGGTCACTTTTATTGGCGAATGAATAAATAAAAGAACAAACGAAGACGCATGGCATGGCCTTTAATGCTCTCTTCGGAAGCGAATCGAGCCGGAATTAACTTGATGGAAGAGCAAATGGGCCGCGGCGGCGGCAGCTCAATTAGGACTTTGATACAGCAGTGGTAGTTTTCCGATCGTGATTGCGCTTCTTTTCGAGCCAACGACCTTCTCGAGTGAGTAGCTATGGCGCAATCTCTTTTTGTTCTTGACGTATATAAAATGTAACAAGGAAGGAAGAAGAGGCAAAAGAAGTGATATTCTCTTGGAATCTGTTCTTGAGTGTAGATTGCAATCAGCCTGATTTATCGTTCAATTTTTAAGGACAAATAGAAACAAATTTTTCCCCACAATCAAAAAAACTTGTTTCTAGCTATTTGAAGAATTTTAATTTTTTGCACATAATTTTACAGACTCTGACGGCTTAAAAAC